ACACACACACACACACACACACACACACACACACACACACACACACTGCTGCGGATCCACCGACCCTTCTCCATTTGCACTTCGCCATGCATCTGCACTTGACTTTTCCACCTCTCTTTTGCACACAACAGGCAAACCCGCCACAAAAAAGAGGAAAAAGGTAAATACCAACATGTCTTTCTTTACTTTCTTAAGCATTTAATTTGCCAATAACTTGAAGGGGCTCATTTATTAAGCACTTCATGATATTAGAAATTCAAATCGAAAGGAGCCTTGGCAGTTTTGACAACTGCGAGACTTGATTTTGGTCTGTTCTCAGTGACCGCACGCTCTGGGAATGGACTAAGCTAGAGCACACCAACTTGCACCAAAAAAAGTTAAAGCCCCCAATGGGGGTTCAAAAAGATGTGGATTGGGGGAAAATTGGACCAAATTGGTCGGCTTTTTATATGGATGCCTGAAAAACAAGTCAACCACTCTGCCCCAGCAGTGCACCAAACAGGGGGGTGAATGCCTAACTGGTTATGCTCTCAGTACAAGGCTATTTCCCATTACCGTATTTCCACAGTTATGGCCATTATGGTTTCAAGCAAATGTTTCTAGCAGTTACAATTTGATTAGTAGAATCAAGGTGATGATATGACCCTTAATCTCACTTCAGCCTAGAATTTTTTCTTATTCTTCATTTTTTTAAAGTTTCTCTCTGTTATTGTTGCTGTCTGAACCCCTCCACTCCATTCAGATTTTTCATCTTCTCAACCCACCATGTTACCAGTGAGTGGAACTTTTTCTTTCTCTCATTCAGACCTTTGCATGGGGCTGCCTATTGCCATTTAATGATGTAAGTTGTCTTTCGGTATTTATTGTTTTTAGCTTTAAATATTGTCTTTATTGATGTATGCCGCCTTTGTATACTCATGTTTCTTATTTTTAAATATTATCTTTCAATGATGTAAGACATCTAGAGTACTTTTAAAGGAGAAAGGTGGGGTAAAAATATTTTAAACAAACAAACAAACAAATATCTCAGGGCTGCCTGCAGCTTTGTCTCTAGGAAAGGTTGAGGACAACTGCCATCTACTGACTAAAAATGGTACCATAATTAGCTTGGTAGTATAGTTATGCTTCAATCAACTGTCTATGTTTAATCCATTTTTAAAACAAAATAAACCCAAACTGGCTATTTTTTTTTTGGGCTCCCTCAGAATTTCTGTCATGTTTCAGATGTTGTGGCTCTCCAGTCTTGGAGGCAGAGAATCTCCTTTTTATTATGCCATTTTTAAAAAGATAAATGTGCTGAAAATTCCAATGGACATCCCTAATACCACTTTTATAAGTATGGTTTGTAACATGTTCCTGGGGGGGCGGGAATTATTATAAAATCAGTATATTAAATGGCATTTTCATAGATGCATTTCAATGCCTTATAACTAACCAGGATAACTTCATTCATTTGTGGATGGCAAACATATAATTCATAAAGCAAATGGTGTTCTCACTTGCCATCAGGTTGCCCTTGACTTTTGGTGACTTTTGAATGAGTGACCTCTGAAATATCTTGTGCTCAACAGCACTGCTGAACTCTTGTAAACTCAAGGTTCAGCAATTATAATCCTGCCAAAATTTCCTTAATTAGAAAAGGAGGGGCTTTGACTAGGGATGGACACGGATCTGGCTCATGCTGGATCCCTGCCCCACCTCCTCTTCTGAGTGGGTAGCTGCTGGAGGAGGCAGAGAAGGAAAGTCTGTGCTCTTGCCATGACTGGTGAAATAACTGAAGAGGAGGAGGAGGAATGGACAGTATGCCAACTGGTGAGTGGGGGAATCCAGCCAAGCAGGCTGGATTCCCCCACTCACCAGGGACACACAGCACCTCTGGCATCAGTAGAACAATCCAGCATGATACAATGATCTGGATTCATGCCCATCTCTGCTACACAAAGGAGAGCTAGATGAGATGCATGTAAAACAAGACGGGACAGGAAATGTCTTTTTCCAAGGTGGTGTGGTGTCTGGAAAGTTTCCTGGCTGGTCTTTGCAGGTGTGGTTCTTAAAATGGGACTGTACAGAGTCTGTGAAGAACTAGTGCTTATTAATGCAAAGGTGCAAAGAGTAGAGATCTTATTGTGAGTGCAATGTTAAGCAAGGTTATTGTGCTTGAAAAGATTTTGCTGAAGTAAATAGCAGAGATTAATTTGGTGCTATCTTCAGGAATGGAAAAAACAGCAGTTCTACCTACAGTATGATCTGAAGTATTCAATAGCCATCTGTTTGGTGCATCATATTTGTTCATTTAAATTAGCTCTCACAAGGATTGCCTAAAGATTGTTCTTTTCTCTGAAGTAACTATAATGGTTAGTTGTATCTTTCTCTGGGACTAAGAAAGCCCAGTGTACTTTTAAACAGTACTGTACTCAAAAATATCCTCAATCTCATTCTGGTTTGCTTTTCTTTATTTATACTGAAATTTTCAGTTGTATTAACTAGTAGCACTTTGCTTTCTATGCAACAGCAGCATGCAGACTATGAAAGCAATTAGTGAGCACAGTAACAAAGAAGCCAAGAAAGTTAGGCTTTTCTATTGTATCATCTACAATCAGAAGGAGAAATTTATCTTTTCCTTTTACATAGTAAAGATTGCAGGTTGTATACCCTATCTGAATGCACATACCCCCCCACCACCAGAAATCATACATAATATATTGTAAATACATCCAAACACAGCACAAGTGCATACATACAGTATCACCATCACTCTTTCAGTTGAGCAACACAAGGTGTAGGAGAGATTGCCAGTAAAGTGAGTCTTAAATCTCATGTTCTCAGTCATTGCCATGCCACACTGCTTTACTAGAAAATGAGAGGAAGGCTCCTATAGCCCCTATTTCTTCCTGCTATAAAGTTCTTTTATAGTGAGTGACTGATGTAGGGTGGGTAGATCATGGGGAATGTGAAATATTAAGACTCATCATCCAAGCAATCTCATTCCGTGGGGTGGGGAGATCACGGGGAATGTGAAATATTAAGACTCATCTTCCAAGCAATCTCACTCTCCCAGAACCCAAGTGTTTTCCAGTGATCAAGAGACAAAAAGTAGACATGGGGTAGATTTAAAGAGTCCCAGTACCCAAGTGTTTTCAAGTGATCAAGAGACGAAAAGTAGACATGGGGTAGATTTAAAGAGTACTCTCACACTGTACATGCAAACTCCTCCTTTTCTCCTGAGTCAGGATTGTCAGTCACCAGCTGCTGCTTTGCTAAGCTCTCTCTGCTCGCTGTTTGTCTTTCTCTCTGTGCCTGTCCTGGCCTCAAAGAAAGGGATTCAGAAGGAGCCACTGGTAAACAAAGTAAGTGTGCACTATCTGGTTCCAGGGAGCCCATCAAAACAAAACAAGGAATAAAGCTGAGTATTCTTATTAGGTGCCCCGTCATGTAGTTGGAATCGTTGTCTGTCTGAAGTATACACATACCACACAAAGAATGTGTGATAAAGACAAATAAAGAGAAAGAGGCATGTGCAGCACTAGGCAGAAGCTGCAGAACATATCTGATAACCAAGTGAACACAAGTGACTTAATACTGTATGTAGTGGCAGCAACCTAGGGTATGGAGGATAGCGTGGGGGCTTTGGTTGATGGGCCCTAGCAGATGAGATAATACAGCCTTAAGTACCAGCCACTTCTCGTTAAGAAATCTCTATTAATTGCTTGACTGTGCAATTTCATAAAATAAGGATACAATTGTGAGAAATTAGACAATTCAATTTGTTTTCAGTACCAATAGAAAGCCCCACCCTAAACCACTGGGGATATACAATCTTGCTGATGTTAATAGCCTGTTATTTCAAAAACCAAAGAATAGCATAGCTATTCCCCTCAAAGTCTGCACGTGTATCTGTTAAGAGAAGATAGTATACTGAGCTTAAATTTAGTTAGGACACAGATTGATTTATGTTACAGAATGGCCCCACATCACCTAGGCATAAAGATTTTATTGAGTTCTGTGATATTTGTCATTCCTAAGGCTTGTTACAGATGCCTCCCTTATGATAAAGTGGTACAATCAAATTTATACAGCCCAGATATTGTAATAATAATACCTTTGCAAAGAAATAGAAGCACATTACCCACCCACTCCACTTGAGGCAAAGATTTCTGCTTTGATTATTAATGCTCTGAGTGATGATTGTATATACAACTGTGAATGAAGAATGCTTTCTACTGCTTCTGTTTTAATGACAAATTGAGATACTTTTAAATATTTATGCTACCTGTTTACACAAAATTTACCACCATGAGAACAACAGAAACAAAGATATAATTGACTGGTCAGTTGGTACAAGAAAACAAGTTCTCTTTCATTCCAAGAACAAATGGAAACATAAACCTACCTTCTGTGACCCCTGCGTCAATCGTTCCTTTCACTTGACTGAAGCACCACAATACATCTTGCAAGAGGTTGTCAAATTCTGCAGGCACATAGATGTCGACCCCCAAAATAAAGAAGAGAGAAACTGAGCAAAATGTTTGTGATTTTCCTTTTTGAGCCCCAAATATATATATAAAGGTACAATCCCAGGATGTGTGTTGAATGAAATGAAGGAGATCTATATGCTCACCTGGAATCATTCTGCAGTGGGAAGTGACAACCTAGCCCAGGGAATGTGGCAGCATTATGCCCTACACCATGAATGGCTTCTCTGTCTGTTTTCTGTGTGCCATCTGAGGCTATTTTGAACGTGGTGCAATTGGAGTCAGCTCCCAATACATCACTGGCAGAGGCACCGAGGAGTCAGGAGGTCAGTAGTCACATTGTTTGTCATAGCACAGCCTCTCTTCATCAGAATCCTAATTCACACAGTCATATCTGTTCCATCTTCAGAACATTCCTCTTCTTTTTTTTAAGTAAAACAAAATAATATTCTTCTGTCTTGAATTAACAGTTTATTGCTCTTTACAGCATTAAACTAAGGTTAGATTTAAAGGATTTACAGTATTCTCCCATTCTGCTCTTCGTTGATCTTGCTTCTTTCCCCCGTCTTTAGTTGTCATATATACACAACCAAACATAAGACACACACTCAAAAACGTTAAGACTACAAAGTAGATGGGAAAGGGATTTTTGTTTTTCCTAATTTAATTTCCTTTTCCAGCGTATATGCACACATTAACATGCACAGACCAAGTTACTTGAAGTGTTGTAATTTAGTGTAGCATATACTGTAAACACAATCCTTTTCTTATTCAGTAAAGACCTTTTGTGCAGTGATGCTTTTGGCACTTGTGTTAGCGCAGCTCAATGTATGGGGCATCCACATGAGAAGGTGATGTTGGAATCTTTCTCAGTCTTTCACAAACATATGCGCACAGTGTAAGGTAGGTTGAGCCAAGGCCATCCAATGAGATTCATGGCTGTCCCAGTCCTGATTCAACATTCTAACCACTGCTAAGATTTTGCTATTGTTGTTACACACTGCTAAATCACCTCTGACTTGGTGACCTTATGAATGCGCAGTCTCCAGAATGTCCTGTCCTCAACAACTCAGCTCAGTGCTTTTAAACTCAAGGCTGTGGCTTCCTTTATGGATCCAACCCACCTTATATTTGGTCTTTCTCTTTTCCTGATCCTTTTAAAATCTTCTAGCATTATTGTCTTTTTCAGTGGATCTTGCCATCTCCTGTTGTGCCCAAATTATGACAGGCTCAGATGTGTCATTTTTGCCTCTACAGGTAGTTCAGGCTTGATTTGATCTAGGAGCCACTTGTTCATCTTTCTGTGATCTTTCTGGCCGTCCAGGTATCTGCAAAACTCTCCTCCAGCAATATATTTCAAAGCATTTTACCTTGCTTTAATTTTTAAGACATTCTTGTCTTCCATGATCTGTCCCTGGTTTTCTTGTAATTCTGTCTGAAAATAAGTAGCTGCTTCTCAATCAATAGTTGGTTTTTTAAGTAGCTGAATTTTATAGAGGCTTCAGTTTTACTGGATTTAGAAATGTTGCTAATAAAATAAACATATTTATATCTCAAAGGTATATTTAATATGTTTGAGACATTTATTTTCTTGCATTTATTGCTCTACTAAGAGCTCAATAAATTAATAAATAAAAATTATTTAAAACCTCTTAAATTTCCCTTTGACTTTTGTCGTACTTCTAAAGGCTTCAGATGTATCCTTTTTTATCTTTATAATTTTTTGTTTTGTTTTGCTATCTTGAAAATAAATTACATGCCTTTGGCAATGACAGCCAAAGTAGCTGAGATTTAATTTTGACTACAGCTTTTCTTTAGAAAGAGAGGTGTAGTCTTTCAGGGATCGTCGTTTTGTTTCATTTAGTCGTGTCTGACTCTTCATGACCCCATGAACCAGAGCACGCCAGGCCCTCCTATCCTCCACTGCCTCCCGTAGTTGTGTCAATTTCATGTTGGTTGCTTCGCAGACACTGTCCAGCCATCTCATCCTCTGTCGTCCCCTTCTCCTCTTGCCGTCACACTTTCCTAACATCAGGGTCTTTTCCAAGGAGTCTTCTCTTCTCATGAGATGGCCAAAGTACTGGAGCCTCAGCTTCAGGATCTGTCCTTCCAGTGAGCAGGGATAGCTAGAGTTAATGTGAAAATTCAAAATAACATTTTTCTGTAGTTCGAAGATGTGAGGTCTGTATGTTTGCAGTGAAACAGCACAAAACACTGCATTAACCATGAGAAAAGGGGACAGTGGGAGAGACAAAAGAATCAAAGCTTCTGCTTCTGCACAATATGCAATTGAACTGACTTTAATTTTTTTAATAGCAAGTTCAAAGGAAAAAAAAATCTGATAATAAGAAAGAAATACAGATACCCAACACAAACATACGTAAGCTTACATCCTTGTACTTCGGTTCCAGTAGTTACATTCTGGCAGATCCAGTTGGGTTGCATGTCAGTTATTCCTAGCACTGTCAAACAATTTCAGAGTGCTTGTTGATTAAACATCTACTAATTAATACATTAAACACACATAAATGTGCATAGAAAATCCCCAAAAGTTTTCATTTTTTTCAATATAGAAGAAAGTATGGGTTAACTTAAGATGTATATCTCATAGTTACATCTCTTTGAGACTATTGCAAAAAATTCTTTTTTTATATCCTATTACATACAATTTTCAACCAAAATTATCATTAAAGGCTATGAACTTTAATCACAACTCTAGTATTTATTTATTTTTCTCTTCTAAAAAAACTATCTCCACTAGCTTGCAGCATGGATTATGTTGATTAAAACCTAGAGCAAGCGACTAATAATTAGCTAACAAGCAGCTGGTAATTAGTGATTAACAAATAGTAATTGCTGAAATCGACCAGTTATTGATCAGAATTGCTCACTTCTGATTTATCTTACTCAAATGTTACCCACCTGTTTGAAGGCAACTTAACATGTTTCTGTGAAGAGCTGAACTAGAGTATTTTCTTTTCCTTTCTGAATTAACTGTTTTAAGAAAAAATGTATTTACTGTAGAACAATCTGTGCCTTGCACCTCCCAGTTGGCTGATACACACTGAGGGATGAAGTCATTCTCCTGTTGTTCTTAAGAGTTTCGTAAACAGATGATAAAGACTGGCTGCTACTCACAAGCCCTTCCTATTAGCATATTTAAATTCACATTTTTCCCATTGCCTCTAAACTGGAAGAAGTACAGTACAGTACACCAATGGTTTAAAGTATCTTCAGAATCACCTTGTCCATTTCTTATAGGAAGCATATAGAAAAAATACTTCTAAAGCACAGGACTTGAAGGGACTCCCCTCTCTTGAAAACAGATGTGCTTCAGGTAAGTGAGGAGACCAAGCTGAGGTCTTACTTGAAATGTAGTTTGTTGCCTTGAACTTGCACAATGTCTTATATTTTGTTATTTTAAGGGATATGTATATCAGGTTGATTTTTCTCTATGACCTTTCTGTTTTCCTTGACAACAGGTATGGAGAGACAGCAGGAATTTATCCTTGTATGTGCACAATGGTGTTCTGAATGTGTCCATCTAGCTTCTTTCTGATATCTTCATTGAAGACACTTAATTGCATTGAAGTTTAAATACTTCCTGGACTAGCAACTCAGTTCAATCACTGATGGAGCTCATATTTAAACTTAGTGTCGTGCCCTGAATGTGCACCATGCACACTGATTCTCATTGACATGTTTCTAGCAGGTTCCCACTTTTTATGTCTGTTTGGTTGTAAAGCATTATTTCTATATATCTACTTGAGTGATAAGCAAGAAAGTATTTTATGAAGTTGTAAATCAATAACTATACTGATCACCCCTTGAATTTGATGTGATCAGGTACTTGTTAATCTGTTAACTCCTTAGTAATGAAGCAATGCATAAGCAAATGTTCTTGGTAATCAGATTAAAAATAATAGATTTCTTTATCACATTGAAATTTGAAATCTGAGATTAAGTTCAGTGTAGAAGATGTGATTCTAGAAAAACAAAATGTGCTTTGATCTTCTTTAAAGAACAATTCTCCTTTAAAATAATGAAAACTGATTTGCTCTCTAAAGAGACATGAAATGCTGTTACTAATATTAGTTACCGCAACTCTGGACTCTGTTTTCCCTTTTCATTTTGCATAGAATTTACCTTGAAAGCAAACTTTGGCTGTCTAACATATATCAACTGCAAAGTAAAGGTACCAATAAAGAAGTAATGATTTCTGCATAGCCAGGAACTCCCTAAGTAATCAGAAGTATATTAAAATGAAACTATAAATTATGGTAAAAGCATTTTAGTACTTCTGAGTATACATACATAGGACTGAATATACTGCTTCTCTGCACATAACTGTCTGCTTATTTTTGTTTAAGCATCTCTCTCTCTCTCTCTCTCTCTCTCTCTCTCTCTCTCTGTGTGTGTGTGTGTGTGTGTGCGCATTTATATAAACAAGACAATACTTACTCAAGGTATACAAGTGTGACAACAACATAATAAAATAGCAGAATGTTTTATCCTGCTAGTGCATATACATTTCCCAGGTAACCTGAACTCTGTAATGTACAATCTTATTTCCTTTCTCTGGGTTTTTATAACCAATTGTCTTACATCATTCAAGAAAATATAACTATGTCAAGCCTGCCCAGAGGAAGGGGACTATACCCCATAGAAATCTGAACAATATTATTTTAGTTTTTGTGTCTTTTTCTCTGAAAAATTCTCAAGATCCACACCCTTTTTACATTCTCCAAACCTTAGTATTTGCTATTTTTCTGTTGGCCAGCCATCTTGTTTGACTTGAAATGCAGAGGCTTTTCTTGGGCCTACACAGACTTTTTTTGGAGGCTTGTGTTTGACCTTCAGATGTCTCCAACCAACCAACTTTGGGGGGATCTTCTCACACCCCTCCAGTTTTGGGGATCATAGTATGATCATTTTTGGAGGGAAAATTCACCTTTGTGGGGTAGGGCAGGGTGAGGGAGATTGCCAGAAGCTGTGGAAAATGCTTCATTCCTCACTGGAATAGACAGACAGGGGAGGGTGATTGAGGGTATTCTGCTTTTATGGATTTTGGTCTGGAGCAGCAAGACCTGATGCTGAAAGAGGGGTATCAGAGGAATAATAGGGAGATAATAGGGGATGTAACTGGTAAAAGACTGAAATAAAATGTAGTTTAGTGTGAATTCATGAGGGAAATGGGAGGGGCGGTGTCTTTTGATACAGAAAATGGGAATGAGTGTGCAAAGGCCTGGGTTAGGCAATTTGATAGGTTTGGGGACAATTTTTCTGTCCCTACAATTCTCTGGAGACACACAGACCACAAAAATGGCAAAGGATGAAACTGGACCTTTATGGGCTTCATGACCCGTTTAAAAAGTGAATCTTCCAGATGCAGCAGCAACTCCTTCTTTGGTGAAAAAAGGGAAAGGGAATAGCTGCATAAGCAGGTTTGGGGAGCTTCACACCACCTTCTCCCCACAGAAATGGGAGGATAATGAGGATTTAGTGGGATATTGATGATGGGATATCCCAATCAGAAGAGGGAGCAGTTATAAGCAAAATGAAGGGAAGAAGTATGATTGTCAGAGGGGAGTAAGACTGTTGTAGTTAGTATTCAGATGCATTTAGATATAATTGAAAGAGGGCAACAAATGGGTGGACAGGCTTGCTGGACTGAAATTACAGTATTAGGGTTTAATGTATTTATTTGCATAAATGAATAATAATAAACATGCTTCTCTAGATCTTGCAGGAAATACACACATACATCTTGTATTTGTTCATTAGGTGCAAAAAGAGGGCAGTTACATGTTTGTATTGGTTCAGAAGCAGGCATTGAGGGCCCACAGAGCAAACGTGCCATGTTGGCCTTACTGCTGCTACTCCTTATGGTCCGCTTACAAATGCTGCTTGGCAATACTTGGGATGAAGGTAAATTGCTAAGGACTACTGATGTTGTGCTGTGAATATTTCAGAAAAGGAATAACCATCACTTTGGTCCTCTGGAGCTACTGCTTGTTCGAGCTGGTTTCACCTTCTATTAATTTCCCTTGCATATTTTGGGGGGCAAAGAAAGATTCCTGTGTCAGAAAAAATACAGTAATTTACTCTGATGTTATAGCTTGGTATTCTTCTCACTATGAGAAGAATATCATAGTGAGCATAGTAACTATAATATGAGCATAATAAGACAACTCATTTACCTTTTCACTTGTTGAATTTGTTCACGTTTCTATTCCTTCTCTTTTGTTATCAATCACCACCCCAATTCTTTGTTTTGCCTTGTTTTGTGTGAATTGAGAGCTAAGCCATGATAGTTGCAGAGTATACACATAATATTGTTGCTGGTATTTTATTGTGTTTTCTTTTTCCTATGTGTTGACTAAAGAACTTGGATGGAGGAGTCAGGGATTTCAAAATCAAGGATGAATAAGGTGTTATTTAAGTTTATAACATCCTTCTTTGTTTTCCATCTGAAGCCAAGTTCAGACTGAATTGCCCCCAGGCTCCTTGCTGGCATTATTGGAATGGGAATTGTTACTGCTTAGAGCCAGATCAGAAGGGGACTTGGACAGGAGCATTAAAGCATTGCAAGAGATACTCTTATACAGAATTAGTAACATTAACTAGTTTACAGGAAAAGGTAGGTTGTATATGTCTAAACTTTAAATATGTGAATGTAATTTTCCCCAAACAGCTATGACATTTACAGAAGAAAGGCCTATTACATATATATCCCCATTATTTATCTATTAGTTGTTCTCTTCATAATTCATTAAAGCTAATAGTTAAAAACTGATTGTAGGATTTGTTATTAAGAGTATATTAGAGAAGCAAAAACAGAGCAACTTGGCTTTCAAGGATCGCAGATAGAGATATGTAGGATACTCGTATTTGCCTCCTGGGCGAGATGAATATGAATACCACCACCACAGGTGGCCAGGCTGATTAGACCCTCCCCACAGAACTGGGCTGTTCACTTACCGCTTGTGGTGTGGCGTGGCCATCATCCGCATCACGCCAATTGATGAAGGAGATTGTTCTGAGTGAAAAAAATATGCCAATGAAGCAGTTCTGAAAACTAGAAAGACCCACTGGAGGTATCAAGAAGGAAGATTCAGAAGCATTTAAGAGAGCTGACTTTTTGAGTGTGTAAAAGCGAGAAGCTCGTAAACTATTAGGTAGATATAGCAGGTCTGAATGATTATATGTGTGTCTGTTATAGATTTTATATCAAAAAAATCTTAAATGTTTGTTGTTGCTTTTCTGTAGAACTGGATTTTAAATTTACCCTTGGATAATTTTTGGATTGGATTAAATAATTTGGAAGAAGCAGACAGTTTTTCATGGTCAGAAGGGACAGAAGCAAATATGAGCCTCCCTTGGTAAGAAAATAGGATTATAAGAGTTGATTCATATAATCTGATGATCCCAAAGATTTTTTCTTCTTCTATAATCTAGTCCTTTTTTCATCCTGCAGTTGAGATTTAATGCATGTGTGAGAAATCCTCACACTCTTGTTACTTAATGCAGTAACCAAACAACCACAAATACAAGCAGCTCTCCTTTATTAAAAACCACTTTTGCAAAAGTGGGTGTCCTAACTGGGTGGGCACACCCATCAATGCAGGTAGCATGATATTTATCCCTTATTCCCAGTCGCATGGTCCCTCCCTTCTTCCCCCCATTGGTAGGTACTCCAAGGTGTACAGCCTATCTGGTGCACCTAAACCAGTCACAGGAAGTCCCACCTCTGTTTACATCTCCCACTCCTCTCTTTACCTAGACCCCAGACTCTTAGTTATTTCTATCCTTATTTGGCATACAGTATGTTCCATTTTCCTAACCTCCCTGCGGTCATTCTTACTGACCCATTAAGATCCTTCAAACTTGCAAAAGCACCATTTACCTTCATCCTTTTCTCTCACTTGTGATATCATGGGTGAACATTTATGTACACTTATGTAAATGAAGAAGGCGAATATATATATAAAGACATTGAAGCATACAGGAAGAGGACAGCTGCTCAAAATAGTGATATATGTCTGACATCTTTATTAAGATTTCAAATCAATCAAAATACGAGACATACATACTACTATTTATGTAAAATTAAGTATTACAGTCATAATTGAATTTGTAAGGCACAAGTAAAAAACTCACAAGCTAATGCACACACACTCCTGGCAAATAAGAAAAGTTCTTAACTTTATATATATGCAGTGAGAATATATATATATATGCAGTGAGAATATTACCTAAATCTGGAAACTAATATAAAAATGGCTTAAAAGCAATAGATAAAGTAATTTCTTCATAACCTTGCTCAGTAAAGCTACATACTCCAGTGATTTGAAGCAAATGAAGGGCAATAGCGGTGGTGAACTTTACAAGATGTTATTCTCATAGGATATTGCAGTGGTTGAATGTTTGATATGAGTTTATACAAAAGTAGAACAGTGGCTTAACAAAGGCAGTGATCTAATGCACCATGTGAGCCACATACTGTGGAATATGTATCAGTGAGTTGCCATTAATAATCTTAGAACTGCAGAGCTGGAAGGAACCCTATGGATCATCGAGTCGAGCCCCTGTCAAGGATGCCCTGTGGGGAAATGAACTCCCAGCCTATGGCTCCACAGCCAGAAGCCTAAACCAGTGAGCTATGGATCAAATGTTCTTATATATTACTCTAAACATTTCCAGAAAAGTTGAGTAAGGATTTGGCTGAAACTAACAATCAGTTAATACTCCAGTTTCAAGTGAGGAACATGAAGCTGCTGGAGAAGCAATTCACCAAGGGTGCAGCGACATTAGCAGCAGGGAGCGAGCTAATACAGGCTACTTTGGAACAGTCAGGCTGGATTAGAGTGATGTAATCACACAATTTCACACAGAAATTGGTCTTGCCAATATTGTGAAGTGGCTTAATAAGTGAGCGACTTCAGGATATTGGCAAATTAGTTAATTGCTCTGGTCCTCAGCAGAGGAGCAAGGGAAATGAAAAAATTTTGGACTGTGTATTGATACTGCATCAATTATTTAAAAAATGAAAAAAAAAATCTTTTTTTGCCTTCTCTTAAAAGACCAATTGAGAAACTGCATGCAGTAGAATCCACAGTGATGGCTTTGGCAACAGGCATTTTCTCAACCAACCCTTTAAGAGAAGGCAAAGGAAAAATATTTTATCACTGACTCAGCACATCAGTAATAGTCCATATGTTGTCCAAAAGAATTTCACTTCCCTGCCCTCTGCCAAGGAGCAGAGGAAGTGATTAATTTGCCAATATCCTGAAGTGGCACACTTATTAAGCCAATTAATTATATGGACCTCAACAGATGGGAAACCTTAACATCTGAGCGTTCAGCCTGGAGGCAGGTGGTGCATCATGGCATCTCCCAATTTGAAGAGACACATGTTCAGCAGGTTGAGGCAAAGAGGCAGTCCCGAAACCAGCAACATCAGGGAGCTGGACAGGGGACAGATTGTATTTGTCCTCAGAGTGGAAGGGATTGTCACTCTTGAATTGGCCTTCTCAGCCACACTAGATGCTGTTCCAAGACCTGTATTCAGAGCACATCACCATAGTTTCTCAGGATTGAAGGATGCCTACTCATATATTGGCAGGAGTGAATTCTGTGTGAACCACTGGGCTTGATTAGATCATTTTTATCACTTCATCTTCTTGGAAGTTGCTCAAAACTGTAATTCTGTGTAGTTTACCACAGCAGGTAAATGACCACAGACAGAACTGATGTTTTCCAGCTTTAGTCCTGGTGGATAGGGGGATGAAAAGAAACTGGAGAAGGGAGGCAAGGAGTTGGTGGTCTATTTAAGGTCCTAATGCTGAGGATGTGACTGAAGAAAGGAATCAAGACTGAGCAGTGTAGCCTGAAGTTATAGTAGGCTGGGCTGTCCATTTCTCTGTCTTTCTGAATCAAGTGTAGCAGTATCCTGAAGGTGAAAGTTTATTATTTTTCCCTTAATTCCTTGAAATCTTCTACATTGTCCTATACAACCAGGGGTCATTAATTACTAAGATGAACGAAAGCAAACATAGGAGGACTATATGAGAGTGGTATTTGGCATAAACTTTCTACTAAAGACCACATTTACAGTCATGTAGAAAATCCTACATGAATTATGTCTCCAGATTTTTCTCTTTCTGTTTCATTTTATTACAATTAAATTGGAAAGGCTTCAACTATCACATTCAATCGAGAAAAATACCATGTATTGTGTGAAAGTTTCCAAACGTAGCTTGGTTGCTTTGCAATGTAATACAGAGGCCCATTGGATCTGCAAGCGAAATGCGGGTGAGTATATTTATATTTGCTTTTGATTCATTTCTACCTATGTTAAGATGATTTATAGTCATGTTTGGAGATACAGGTTATTTACCAAAATAGTATAGAAAAAAAAGTGCTCACTCTTTTCCTCAGGAGAGATAGGTTGCAATAATGGTGAATGTTCTCAGGTATTTAGGGTCCTAAATTACAAAATATACCTGGCTAGGTGTTCTGGGCCTTTACCTTTAAAGCCTATTTCCCCTTTAAAAGGATGTATTATATTTAGATAGCTAGGTGTGTACTGTATATGTGGTTGGGCTTCAACCAAAGAAACATGGAATTTAAATTCTCATTTATCCACAAAGCTCATTGACTGACATTTGGCAAGTAACCATCATTAATGCAAAGAAAAGAGTGAGATAATTCAAGACCACCTTGAATTCTGATGAAGAATGCTTGTGTGTGTGTGTGTGTGTGTGTGTGTGTGTGTGAGAGAGAGAGAGAGAGAGAGAGAGAGAGAGAAGGGGGAGGGGAGGGTCATTTTTTTTCTACAAATATAGTTTTAAAATGTTTATACTTCATAGATATGGTCGTGTATAAGACACCTGATATCTGACACTTAATATTTGACTTAGCTAGTCACTTGGTTATCCTGGCTAGCAGGCATTCCATCAACCACCTGCAAGAGTATGTGATGATTGCTACTGAATACAGATTATATTGCATGATTGGTTTACACGGAATATACTTGAGATAGGAAGTAGGAATAAGTTATTTTGGGATCCTTTTCCAGCTCTGTGATTCTGTGTAAAATGAAAATTACATTATTGGTCTTGATGAAGTTGCTGTAGCAGCACTCTGAAAATTAGTAAAGCTTATGAGTCTGGAAACTAATAATAGTTTTGAGAGGTAAAGTTCAATAACTGTTCCTCTTCCTGGTGGTTTTACTTCTGACTAGTTTATTTTACACAAGATAAATGTCTTACGATTTCAGGGTTCTGGAGTGAATCTATGTAAGATATCCTTCCTTGTATTTGCTTGTCTCAAGGAAAACAGAACCCCAAAACATATATTTTTATTTATTTATTGGGAATTCAGTTATAACATTACAAGTTGTAAATAGCTAATTTCAACCAATGCATTGTTTTGTGGATTCTGTTTCCTCTTATAGATGTTGACCGGTATCAAGAGCATGAAGGAAAGGTACTTCTGTCACCACCAGGCTTTCCCTCCCAAGTCCATGCAGATTTGGTTACTGCAAAAGCAGCATGCTTGGAGCTTAGAGAGCAGTGTACGGGGATCACTGTCTGGAATAATGCCTATGCACTTGCCAGGGGAACTGTTTTGCTAAAAAGTAAAGAGAGAGAGTCTGCAGCATATATCAAATCAGGTAGACTGAGCATTTCAAGCATTCTGTAGATTCCAGCGTTCATTATCATAGTCTTGCATTATGTGGTGCAACAGAAAATGCTATGGGAGGTAGGTGGGTGAGAGTGTAAGATGTGATGAGAATGTAAGTGTTCTATGTCTTAAACAAAAAGAGAATCAAGGGTCTCCCAGACACAGTACTCATTTCACCTTCAGGACCAAATTGTACACTGATCTTATCAGAAATTGCCCTAACATCATATTTTTCCTCTTATCTAGCTTGGGGAGGGGGGAGTGTCCTTTGAGTTTCCATATCTTTTTGTCCCTCCCAAAACCAAGGTTGGCTTTTTCACTGCTTTGTGTTGGAGGGTGGGGTTTAGTACTATCGTGATTCCCATATACAGTTTCTATAGTGGATGAGTCTGGTATGAATTATACTACCAATCTGTGCATGAAAACAGTGTGGGTGCGTGGGTGCCCAAGGCTACACTGGCTGGCTATTCTCCTGGGATGCATAGTGAGGAAAGAAACTAAAAATCTCTGGCTCCATAGACCCTGCTCAACAAATCCTTGGCTGCCAAAGAGAGCTTTTTCCTCTTGCCGCAAGCACAGATCCTGCAGCTCTTCTCCTGGAATTTTATTTACAAGGAAATAATGAGAATACTTCCTGTGATCAAGGAACTCCCATGCTCATAAGAGTGTTTAAGTTGGCTGGCAGGAAAAGCCTGAACCATAGTATTCTGCCAAAATGGGCAGTCAGTTCACCATCAAGATCACAAACAAAGCATGAAGATGATGGTGTTCCCATCTTATTTTCTTTCAGGGTCTGCTGTTCAAAGCTTAAAACCACAAAGGTTTAATTTAGTTACTCTTGTAGTCATTAACAGACCTATTCTCCAACAAATTACGGTAATCCAATGAGTTTCCTTATTTAAGGTAGCATTGTTAACTATAATGCCTCACAAAGTTATAGTGTACAGTATATAAAGAAGAATCTATTGGGAGTTATTAACTATAGACATTAATGGCACTATTATGTTTGTATGCCTTCCCATAGATTGCTCCTTAGGCTACTTTGGAAAAAACTGTTCCTCTGTTTGCAGCAGCTGCCATGAAGATGAATTATGCAATCCTTACACTGGGGGTTGTGACAACATCCATTCATGCCGCTCTCAGGACTCACCTGCTGTTTGTGAACAAGGTATCCTAATAAGGACATGGCTGTGGGTTGGATGTGAAGTGGAAAAATGCATGTAGCAAAGCTAAATGTAAACAATTCATATTACTTTCAGCAGTGTTGATAGCAAGACATTTCTAGACTGTTCCCCCCCCAATGTTCTATGCAGATCATATACATTGCTTCAGATTTTCATACAGCAGACTAATATTTGTATCTCGTTTGTAATCTTTGTATATCTCAGTATTTGTGTTGCATATGATTAATCCCCAGTCAATTTCAAATTTCGGTTTACTCAAGCATATCATCAATGACACATAGTGCATCCAGGGCCATTATATTTTCCTCTTCCAGGCTGTGGGTCTTTGCTTTCTTTTGGTCAATTTCAGTGACTGAGCCCCTGATGTTGTGAGTGACATTATTAGATCCTGTAATGATGTTCCTAGAGCAGATAAAGGGAGAAGTATCAGATTTAGTGCCAAGTCTGGTTCTTGTGCTTGTGTCCTCACTATGTGGCCACAGACAGGGAGCAAACATAGATGACACTTCTTTTCCCATATCTATTCTGTTAACAGCATTCACTTTCTTTTAATACTTGTCCTTTTTTGTGAAAAATGCCCTTCTGTGTTTTTACAAGCCAATCACTATGCAGACTGTATAAACAAATCTGTGCTAAATGTATAGACCCTAACCAGACATCAGAAATGTCACTATATAGAAACCAATAGGAGAATGCTAAAGATTCCTAGTGCACAGATCTACTGATCTTAAAATAAGCACTGAGGAGGAGAAAAGTGTCAGAGTAGAGGAAGAGAGTGCTAAATTAAACTTCATTAGGAGCTTTCTTTCTGTGATCAGGCAGGGCATATTTCCCTTGAGAGATAGAGTACACTCTCAAATATATTTGGGATGTGTAGCACAGGTACAGCAAGCAAAAGAAGAAAGACTCTGGTGCATGGAAGCAAGCCCTTCACATGACCTTGGACAGAACTTGATGCCTACACAACTACACAGATGCACCTGTAATCCTATCTGGTTTGTTCATGAAAACAGTGTCTGTTGTGTGATATGTGGTATAACACTGAGCATTAGTTCTCATGACCCATACACTCCTAAGAAGCCTTAAATCCATGTTCATAACTTTCGTTGTAGTAAGAAAGAGTGAATGCCTCTAGTTTCGCATGTTATTATGTGGTGGAGTGATTCTGCTTTCCCCCCTGCATTTAATTTCAGAATTGGTGTACATGCAACTTAGTATAGTTTTGAGTTAATGTTTCCCCACCTCCAGGTGCCGCTGGTGCATAGCTGTAGAGGAGAGAGGTCGACAAACAGTCTGATTAGTCAGACCCTTTATCCTTGCTAGCACATCCGCCCTGTCCTCCACCACAGGACTGGACCTTGATTATAATAAAATATTATCTGCTTAGTTACCCTGGTCTAATCTTTTGACATATGCAAACAGTTTCAGGAATCAGTAGGTATCTCCCTCATTTGTGCTCTACTGGAGATCATAGCAAGTCAGAAGATTTTTCCCCCAGTTTGTTTGTTTGTTTGTTGGCTTGGTTTGGGATTTTTTGGGGGGGCGGGGTTGTTTTGCCTTTCCCAAACTGTATCTCAAGTATTATTATTTTTTAATCATGTTTTAATATTGTTGCTTATACTGTTGTTAGTCGCCCTGAGTGGCCTGGTTGCCAGATGGTGCGGGGTAAAAATTCAATAAATAAATAAATAAATAATTAAAAACCCTCTTTCCCTGGCATCAAGGCCTTGGAAGAAAGACAGAATCTTGCCTCAAGGCACGTCTGCACTGGCCTTTTTGGTACAGGTTGGTATGGTCTAAACACAATCACTTGAAGTGAGCAGGAGGAGCAATATGCCACTTCATATTCATCAAATGGCATATCAACCTCAAATGACCCTGTCTAGTGGTCTAGGAGAAGAGTGATGGTGATGGTGATGATACTGATACTCCTTCCTGCAGAGAAGCAGAGGAAGTGTTCAATCTGCCAAAATCCTGAAGTGGTTCACTTTTAAGCCTCTTCACAATACCACAATACTTAAAACCAGAAGGAATCTTGGCAGTTTTGATAGCAGCAAGGCTTGAGTCTCAGCTATTTCATATGCTGGAAACAGACTAAACTAGAGTAAACTAGAGTGCATCAATCTGCACCAAAAAATTAGAAGCCCCTAACAGGAACTCAGAAAGATGTGGTTTAGGGTGTCCTGGGGGCAAATTGGGACACAAATTTGGAAACTGAAGCAGCTGTTACAGATATTACAGGAAAATCCTTGATGGCAAATGGGTTGTGTCATAGCAGGACCTTTTCTCATCTTGCATAAGCTCCACATCAGGTTGCTTTGTTTCATTATTGGTCTTCAGGATGTTTGCACAGGATTTCTTTGAAATCTGATTTCTCAAACACTGAAGGCTGCTTCAGTCAGAGGTCTTGAACTCTAAAGTGTTTTCAGCACTTAAATCTGGTCTGCCTGTAATGTCTGTTTCTGTACTGTTTTGCTGCTGATGCATTTTGAGTATAGAATTAAAACAGATTTACTAAGTATATTTGTTTTATTTATTTATTTGACTTTTGTACCATCCATCTGGCAACTAAGACCACTTGGGGCAGCTCACAATATTGTAATATAATAGACAACAATTTAACAACCCTAAACATAGCTAACGGTTGTTGTGGGGTTTTTGGGCTCTTTGAACTAAGATCACTTGGGGCAGCTCACAATATTGTAATACAATAGACAACAATTTAACAACCCTAAAGATAGTAGCTAACGGTGCTGTCCTCTGAAGATGTTGGCCACAGAGACTGGCAAAACGTTAGGAAGAACAACCTTCAGAACACGGCCAAAGAGCCCGAAAAACCCATAACAACCATTAGATCCCGGCCGTGAATATATATTTATATATAGTAGCTAACATTTGTATACACATTTGTAGTAAAGTCTTTAAATTAGAATTGTGTTTGTTTACTTATATTTTGGTTAGCTTTGGAGAGTGCGTGGTGCCCACACTTTTCTGGTTGGAAATATTGGGGAACCAACTGCTATTACTTCAGTACCGAGGCTGAAGCCAACTGGACCAATGCTCGGAAACACTGTAGAAGATTCAGAAGTGCAGACCTTATGTGGATGGACAACCCAAGTGAAATAGTATTTATATGAAATATTTTTATGAGAGAAAACAAATAATAAGTATTTGAAGTTAAGGGGTAGTTTTTATGCATTTTCATATATATTTTTGTTACATTTGTTGTAAATTGTTTTGAAATACAGTGGTGCCCCACATAGTGAGGTTAATCCATTCCGGATTAACCTTTGCTATGGAGAAACATCGCTAAACAGAACGGAAAAGCTCACAAAGTTTAATGCATTCCAACGGGGCCCAAACTCACAGTTGAGCGAAGTTTCCCCATCCAGCCGCCATTTTCGCGCCCTTGGTAAGTGAGGGAAGGGCGCGAAAACGCTGCGCGCGGCCATTTTGGGTTTTCCAGCGGCCATTTTGGAACCGCCGATCAGCTGTTCCCCCGACATCGCAATGCGAAGATCGCAAAGCGATTTTTGCCCTATTCAAACATCAGTATGCAATCGCATTAGTGATTGCAAAATCTGCATCACTATGCGGATTCATCGTTAAACGATGCGCTCGTTATGCGAGGCACCACTGTATTTGCTTAAGCAGCATAGTATATGAATGAATGAATATGGTAATCATGATAAATATATGTTTAAAACAGTATCAAGACTAACTGGATAATTCATAGTGCTCATTTTAACTCTCTGTAATATATGTATGTATATGTTGTACGAGTGCCTCCTGCAACTAAGTGCCACAGTGCAACAAAGTGCAGGGTAAGATACAGTGAGTTTAGCTGTGTGAGTTCAGCAACAGGGCGAGGAAGCCAGGGCCCCAGATACTGCCTGTCACTTCCCCAGTATCAAGACTAACTGGATAATTCATAGTGCTCATTTTAACTCTCTGTAATATATGTATGTATATGTTGTACGAGTGCCTCCTGCAACTAAGTGCCACAGTGCAACAAAGTGCAGGGTAAGATACAGTGAATTTAGCTGTGTGAGTTCAGCAACAGGGCGAGGAAGCCAGGGCCCCAGATACTGCCTGTCACTTCCCTTGAAAAATGGAACATAGAGGGAGGGGTCTGTGATGGTTGTGAGGACCACATGGTGACTTGCCTGCCTGGTGCAAAGGTTGCGGACATCTAGTCTTACCTGGATAGGCTGGTAGAGAGTGCTGGGGACAAGGTAGCAGTGGTGGTGCGTATTGGCACTAATGACATGGAAAAATGTAGCCGCAAGGTCATGGAGGTCAAATTTAGCTTGGAGCCAGGACCTAAAAGGTAGCGTTCTCAGAAGTGCTACCTGTTCCATGTGCAAGGCCGGCTAGGCAGGCAGAGCTCAGGGCTCTCAACATGTGGATGAGACAGTGGAGTCATGGGGAGGGGTTTAGATTCAGTAGGCACTGGGGAATGTTTTGGGACAAGCTGGGTCTGTACAAGAGGGAACCTGAATGAACATGGAACCAAACTGCTGGCACGTAACATTAAAAAGGTGGCAGAGCAGCTTTTAAACTGAATCCCTGGGGAAAGCCAACAGGTGCTGAGTGGCATCTGGTTTGGGACTCCTCATCCCTGTGGAATGAGGGTAGAGAAGTGATGACAGTGTAGGAATTAGGACTGGGGCCATGATGGGATGTGATAGTTGGCCCACTGGAATGCAAAACTGTGGAGAAAAAGAGAAACAAACAAGCGGCCTTTCTTGGGGCACCCCATACACAGGTGTTTTTATGCAAATACTCAAAATGTCTGAGCAAAGAAGAGCTGGAACATCTGCTGGTCACTACATTGATATAGTAGTGATATAGTGGCCATATTTCTTGGGGCACCCCATACGCAGGTGTTTTTATGCAAATACTCAAAACGTCTGAGCAAAGAAGAGAGCTGGAACATCTGCTGGTCACTGCATTGATATAGTAGTGATATAGTGGCCATAATAGAAACCTGGTGGAATTCAGAGAACCAATGGGATACCGCAATCCCAGGCTATCAACTCTATAGGAGGTGTGTTGGAGGTGGGGCAGCCATTTATGTCAAAGAAAGGGTAGAATTCAGCAAAATGGACATGGACGGTGGGTCTGACTCCATCATAGAAACACTGTGGGTTAAACTACTAGGACCAAGCAGCAATGTGATAGTGGGAGGGGGTGGGTTGATCCTCCAGATCAAAAACTTGGAGGGGACACCTTGAAATGAGGAGGTGGATCAGGGAGGTGTCCAAGAGGGACAGGATTGTAATAATGGGGGACTTCAATTATCCTCACATTGACTGTGTCAATGCATGCTTGGGTCAAGAGAGAGAGACCGGGTTTCTTGACATGCTAAATGACTGTGCCTTGGAGCAATTTGTCATGGAGCCCACAAGAGGACAGGTGACTCTGGATTTAATATTGTGTGGTACTCAGGACCTGGTTAGGGAGGTAAATGTCACTGAGCCACTAGGGAATAGTGACCATGCTGCAATCTCTATTGCCATGCACGTTGGGTGGAAGGTGTAAAGCAAATCTAACACAAAAACCCTTGAAGGGCAGACTTCCCTCAGATGTGGAACTTAGTTAGAAGCAAGTTGAAAGGGAAGATAAAAAGAATCCAATATTTCCAGAGTGCATGGAGCCTGTTTAAAACAACGGTAGTAGAGGCCCAACAGAAGTGTATACCACAAAGAAAGAAAGGCTCGGCTAAGTCCAAGAGGGTGCTGGAGTTAGAGAGGCTTTGAAGGGCAAGGAGGGGTCCTTCCTTAAATGGAAATTCTTCCCAAATGAGGAAAATAAAAAGGAACACAAACTCGGGCAAAAGAAATGTAAGAAGATGATACAGAAGGCAAAGAAAAATTTTGAGGAATATACGGCCAGCAATATATAATAAAAGCTTCTTTAAACAGAAAAACTTTGAGGAATATACATCCAGCAATATATAATAAAAGCTTCTTTAAATATGCTAGAAGCAGGAAACCTGCCAGAGAAGCAGTTGGCCCTCTGGATGGTGGTGGGGGGAAAGGGGAGGTAAAGGGGGACATGGAGTTTGCAGATAAATGAGTTCTTCGCATCTGTCTTCACGACAGAAGACCTTGGGCAGATTCTGCTGTCTGAACGGCCCCTCCTGACTGAATTAAATCAGATACAGGTTAAAAGAGAGGACATTTTAGACCTACACTAATTGATACGTTGAAGATCAATAAGTCACTCGGCCCAGATGGCATCCACCCAAGGGTTATTAAGGAACTGAGGAATGAAGTTGCTGATCTCTTAAATAAAATATACAACTTGTCCTTTAAAACGGCCATGGTGCCAGAGGACTGAAGGATAGTACATGTCGCGCCAATCTTTAAAAAGGGAAGGCAGGGGGGACCCAGGAAACTACAGGCCGATTAGCCTAACGTCTGTTCCAGGAAAGATGGTGGAAAGCCTCATCCAAGATAAAATCTCAAAACACATAGAAGAACAAGCCTTGCTGAGGGAAAATCAGCATGGCTTCTGTAAGGGTAATTCTTGCCTCACAAACCTTATAGAATTACTGTCTATTTTCAGAAGGTGTTTGACGTGGTGCCTCATCAGAGGCTGCTGAGAAAACTCCACAGTCAGGGGATAAGAGGGCAGCTCCTCTGATGGATTGAGAATTAGTTGAGAACCAGGAAACAGAGAGTAGGTGTCAATGGGCAATTTTCACAATGGAGAGCAGTGAAAAGTGGTGTGCCCCAGGGATCTGTCCTGGGACTGGTGCTTTTCAACCTGTTCATCAATGACCTGGACACAGGGGTAAGCAGTGAGGCGACCAAGTTTGCAGATGACATGAAACTTTTCTGGGTGGTGAAGACCAGACGGGATTGTGAAGAGTTCCAGAAGAATCTTTCCAAACGGAGAATCGGAGGCAAAATGGCAAATATGTTTCAATATAAGAAAATGTAAAGGAATGCACATTGGGGCAAAAAAAAAAAAACTCAAAACTTTGTCAGTTGATGGGTTCTGAGCTGTCCATGGCAGATTGGGAAATAGATCTTGGTGTGCTGGTGGACAGTTCAATGAAAGTGTCAGCCCAGTGTGCGGCAGCAGTGAAGAAGGTCAATATTATCTTCACTGTCTTTTGGGAATGACTACCAATTTAGTTGTAATCGATTTTTTAACCTAGGTTGATATCAAAATTGATATTTCTCTTTGGCCTATGCAAATATTGATCTTTTATTTCCCTTTTTCTGCTGCAAACCCAGTTGGCTAGTTAAAAGTCTGTTCATAGATCTGGAGGTGGGGAAGCAACTCAACCTTTTGTCTGCAGAGAGGAAGTGACAGCGAAAATGATCCCTTTGTCATTTCTGCCTCATGTGGAAACTACATTTTACTGCATGCTGGTGGTCTGCTTTCATGAGGTCCAATTTTTGAACTACTTGCCTTCACCCCAAGATGGTTTTATACCATCTTTACCTGATGAAGTGTTCCAAAGAAAGGAAAGTTAATCTCATTTGTAACTTGTTAGTGATCCAAGAAAAGTATTGCCAACCTTGAAGTGTATTTCCATGAATAGATCACGTTATCTTTTCTGGTATTTATTTTTTGTACTTGCAGTTTCCAAAGTGGTAAGAAATTCCTGTGGCACCTTAAAAGCTAACAAATGTATTATAGCATAAGTTTTCATGGCCTTAGTCCACTTCATCAGATCCATGATCTGAAATATAAATACAGTACATTATAACTGGGGCCAAAATTATTGAGTTAGGTCAGAAGGAAATTAAATTCTGCGAGTACTGAGAGTGACAATTACAGTATTAACCATGGGCATGCTTGAAATTTATAGTAAAGCACTGTACAATTCAATATGAACTTTTTTGTTTCTGTTATTTGATTTGTGCTGTGGTTGTTGCTGCCCTCTTGTGCTAGAAATTGATATTAATACTGTAACAACTTTTGGGCTTAGTTTATATTATTAGATGTGCCAACCATTTTTTTTGCCAGTTCCCACACGTTTAAGCCAATATGTGATTGTGAAGGGGAAATAACAGTAGGTAGTACTGCTGCTGATAAGTCAGCACTTAAAGCTTCAGATATCTCCCTTGATCTGGGAGTCATTAAGTACTGCCATGTGGAATAGCAAAAAAGGGTACTCTTGAGGACCATTAAGAAGTATTCAGTTATCAGATTAAGAACTAGGTGTCTCTGTGTTTTCCTCATTGGTTGACCCTGCCTCATTCGCTACAGTAAATATGCTTGTGAATGGAGATGTGGTGGAGCAGTGAGAGACTTGGCCCTTCTCAGAAATCTTCCTGGAAGGCTCAATGCTTTTCTAAGACAGTTCTCTCAGAGAACATGGAGCAGTTCCTGTATTCAGTACATATGAAGTTGAATTTTTCCCCTAGCTGTATTGCAATGCTTGCATTATTAGATTTTTCAAAATGTTTGTCTGGAACCCCAGTGGGAGACATGTAACGAGCTCCCCAGGCTTGGCCCTTCTCAGAAATCTTCCTGGAAGGCTCAATGCTTTTCTAAGACAGTTCTCTCAGAGAACATGGAGCAGTTCCTGTATTCAGTACATATGAAGTTGAATTTTTCCCCTAGCTGTATTGCAATGCTTGCATTATTAGATTTTTTAAAAATGTTTGTCTGGAACCTTTTTTTTGTTTTTGTTTTTGTTTTTTGGTGAAGGCTTCAAAACCTTTTGCTAGAATCATGTGTGAAAGTCATTAAAATCTGATTATTTTAGAGTGGACAATGCAGTAAATTGTGAGAGGCAGCACAAAATGTAGATTTATGGCAAAAAACAGTGAAAAAAGTTGAACCAACCTTTGTTACAAGTGTTGAAGGGAATGCTAAACACAAGGGTTCATATTTAACAGAGCTCCCAAGAAGCCTCGTCGTCTAGTCGTTTAGTCGTGTCCGGGAGCCTCAGCTTCAGGATCTGTCCTTCCAGTGAGCACTCAGGGTTGATTTCCTTTAGAATGGATAGGTTTGTTCTCCTTGCAGTCCAGGGGACTCTCAAGAGCCTCCTCCAGCACCACAATTCAAAA